CTTGCTGGAACATTTTGCAGGCATATCTAAGAACCAAGATTCTATTGGTAGAATATATAGATAATATATTCCTTCCATTTTTTTTTTTTAATAATAAGCATATTTTATCAGTTTCATTATGACAGAAGCATTCTTCCCAAACTGAGATCTGGGGCAGGATCAAATCACTAGGTTTTATGGACAACCTATGGATAACCTTGGTAAGCAAATCCCATAGTTTAATAAGCTAATGTCATCTGATGAGAAGGAAAGCATGCTCAAGATTTTAGAAAACAGAAAGGAATCAAATTATTCAAAGCATTTTCTTATAACACTGATTGTGATCCACAAAAATGAGGGCCTGCATGTTTGATACACTTCTGTATAATATTATGAAGATGGGAATGAAAAAATAATACTGTCACTGAGGTTATTGAAAAAGGCAATCTTGCTTTATGAAAAAATGGGTAGTACCAAGTCTTACAACTGATACTTCCTGTCCTTTTTAAGTTTCTGAGAAAATCAAAGTAAAAGCAGTAGCAGTAACAAGGAAAATGTAAAGAATTACATTCAGAAAAACCAAGGAACATGATGGAGCATGCAAATATGCTTTTCTTCTTGTAAAGCAGATACATATGAAAGAGAATAAAAAAGTGGAATCCCAACAAACTACTCCAGTGTGGAATTGTTCTGTTTCAGCTATGCTGTATTTCAGGATTCTAAATGATCCTCTTTTCTCCCATAGTAGCTCACTGGCTCTTCACATACAGTATACCTGCATTCCAGCAGATCCCTAAACAAAACAGTTTGTATTCACTTGGTTGATAAGGGGTTGAGGGTAGAGCTTGGTTTAGATTTTAATAGGAAAGTTCTCATAGGAGAAGGTGGGGCCACAGATGGGCTGATTACCATATTAGATAATATGCTGGCATTAGAGCTGGTGAAGGTTGGAGAGAAGGAGGTTGGAAATGGGAATGGTGCCTGGTTAGCTAAAGGGGCTGAAATGAACTTAGACAGCTGTTCATTGGCTGTTAAAATTGGACTGTAGGTTTTAATAATGCCCAATATGAGCTATAAATCTGAGTTGGATTAAGTTTGGGAAGATTACCAAAAAAAAAAAAAGAAAAAAGAATTACTTGAGCATTTGCTGAAGATGCTACAGATAGATGCTTATATTCATTAGCTGCTTGAAGTGCTGATTTAAGGACAAAGAAAGGACATAAACAGAATAAATAAACATAAAGAATAAATTACACAGTTTTTAGATGTCTATCTTATTTATTTATTTTTGCTTGTACTTTTCCAAACTCTGAACATGAGGGGGTGACATTGTTGCTTGGAAAATGAGCTTTCTATAAATATACATGAAAACTTAATATAGAACACAACCTATAATCAGTATAGTGAATGAAGATCTCTGCTAATGTGGTCCTGCTACTAGAAATTATTTAATATTATAGATATTCAACATGTTTTTTTCCCCTAATTATCTTTCACAGATAAGGTTATGCTAATTTAACATGGATGATGGTGATGACTAAAGAGTTTGTGTTCCTTAGACTTTGATGAATAATTTTAAATAGCAAAGTTGGTTGCAGTGTATAGGGATTCATACAGATTAAACATTTCTTCTTTAAAACTTTAGGTACATAATATAGAAAATAAGTCTTGTTACTTGAAATTACTGAATATGCATTTTTCTTTTGAAAATTTTATATCTGTTTTCCCCCAGAGCTTTAGCAAAACTGCCAGAGGATGATGGATTAGAAATTGAGTAAGGTCAATTGTAGTTTAATAATATTATAACTAAATTATACATCAGGAAGAAAAAAGGAAGAAGAAAAAACCAAATGAACATAGATCAGGAATGGAAACAAAATAGATTGCAGGTGGTGCTTCTAGCTTTACCATAATTAATAGAACAAGTAATTATCATAATTAAAAGATATAAGTTTACATATTAATGTTAAGGGGATTTGGAAAGAAGGATTATAGATAGCCCTACAAAGTTCAGTAGTACAGAAAGGTACAGATTTAGAACAAATTACAATAGCTGAGGTGGAAATATACCCTGTAAAATTCTGAAATGGCTCAAATATTGATTGTTAATTTTCAGCTGTATGTATCACTCCATTAATGCCAATTTTCCTACATGAAAGCTTCAGAATCAATATGTCGAATACTAAGTTGTGCATGTTTATGAAATTGCCCCCAAATAATAAAAGTGATGTCATTAATTCCAATTCCCAATATGGCAGAGCAGTGAAATGAACAAAAGGAGATAAAGCAATCCTGAAGATAATGACAATCAATTTCTACAAAATGCTCAAAACACTGCAAATATTGTTTTAAGATCATTCACTTTCATTATCTATGTAATCTCTGGATCTTATAAATTTGAAGTCAATTTTTTTCCACTGGATTTAAGCCTAGCTGTCTGAATTGAATTGGTTATTAACAAACATTTATTTATATGGCAATAGGACTTGAAATTCTCTCTGTAAGATACTACTATTAATTTTTTCCACAGTAAATTATCTTTGACTATAGATTTATTGAATATCCCCACAGTTCAGTGACTGGAGATAATGACTTCTAAAATTAGAAAGCTTCCTCAGTATTTCTACAAATTGTATTACCTTGGGGTAAAAGAGCTACAGCAAGTTTAACCTCCTCTGGGAAAAAAGATGCATTAAAGGGTATTATTTTATCTGAAAATAAATTAGGAACCCAGTCCTATGTAGTGTAGAAAAGCAGGAGATGAGAGCTGCCAAGGCCAGAATTAAGGCATATTTATCTTTTCCTGCTCAGGTGCTGGAATGGAGTCTTTTTATCTGCCATATTTTGTTACTTTCTAACAGTATATATAATTGGACATAATGCTAACTATAACATTACAGGAAACTCTACAAATCATAGCTCACACATTCTTTTCTTGTTTTTCTACAGTGAACCCACAAGGGGAATATTTGAAAACTCATCTTCAGATTATCTATTATTTAATATGTCATCCATGGCTTATCTTAAATTTAGCTGTTTTTGAAAGAAGGTATCTTAACAAATGATAGCTGGATATTGGCTTATTTCAACATGCGATAACTTTGATTATCATAGTTCATCCTGGATAAAGTGTGATTTAGTTGCTGTGCAGGGGAATAGAATAAATAGAGTGTGACTCTGAGCCTTACTTCTACATGTATTGAAGCAAAATGGTAGCAAATCCATAAGGCCTCCCTCAATGCTTTGTCAGTGGGGAACAACATGTCTCATTGAGGTAAAACACTATTAATCCATGCAGTTAAAAGTGAACATGTACTTTTACTTAACAAATTTAGAGGTTATGCAGAACTAGGAGATTGAAAGAGATATAAGTAAGAACACATGTAATATGTTCTCTGCATTTAATTTGATGTTAGCATACAGTATGTCCCAATTTCAGATGTGTCTATAGTTTCATGCATAAGCTGATGCATGAATTTCCATTTTAGAAATAACTGGAAAGCTTGAAAAAAATAAGAAAGTGTACATTTCAATTTCATGTGCTTGTGTAATATTATCTAACTACTCATTCATCCTTCCATCCTGATGGACCACCCAATTGGGACAACTGTCAGTATTGTCCCTGAGTAATTCAAACAGTTAATGTCTCCACACATTAAAAACAGCCCACACCAAGGTATGTCCCTTGTCCAGCTTACCTTGTTTTAGAAGAAACAAATAGCTTCTGGTATGGCTCACTATAGACTCTCAACCCACACTTTACTTATAGGAGGTTTAGAAAAAGCCATGGCTGAGACTAAACAGAGACTATTCAATTCAGGATACAATAGGGCAGGATTAACACATCACCACTATATTGTCCTTGTAGGGACTCTTTGCACCATCCACAAATATCTTCACTATCTGCTGTCTGCCCCACAATATTGGTGGTTACTTAGCAAGATTCAATGCCTTACCTTCACTGTGATTTCATCTCATCCTTTTCTAGAATGCCTTTGCGTGTGATGACTTCCAGGTGCAACACATAACTGCCCACCAAACTGTAGGCAAAAATCACCAAAGCTCTCTGGAACCTCGGTGTACACCATTATGTGTCTTGGGATGACAGTTCTATTCTGTCCTCTACTCTTACAGATGTTCAGAGTCCCAACAATATGCAGTGTAATATTAAGTCACTTTCAATTCTCTCCACCAAATCTTCTAAAGATACTTTAAATATGACATCACCTTGGTTATTGCTCTTCAATTAGATAAACACTTTTTTTGCCCCTGAAAAGTTTGTTGCTGACATACCAAAAGAACACTATATTATATTCAATAATCATAAACAGAATGTATAGAATGTGATAGGAATGGATGCACTCACTGCCTTCCACATTTATGCTAATTGGGAAGGTCTGCAATGATGATGCCATTATATTTTGTTAGCTGAATTTGCACATCAGGCAGATATTCAAGACTGACTCTTCTTAATTACATGGAAAGTTTTGGGATGAAAAAACAAGGCCAGAATTTATATCGCTTTGTCCTTCATTTATTATTTTTTTAACATCCCAAGATTATTCATGTGAGACAAATAAACCTAAATTTCTATACATTTCTCTATCTCCATAGCCTTAGCAGAAGCAGCTTTTCTTCTAAAACTTTTTAAGATTATGTGCTACATCATTTTTCTGCCTTCATCATCTTTCCATTTGCATAATTGGGCCCATGAGAGCATGTTGTATTAAGGTTCTAGACTGAATAGTAGTTCACCAATCTACATAAACACATTTGCTTTTTGTACATTGTTATACAGTACAGTACATAGTCAAGCACGTGACTACGTATTTTTTCCAGGCTTGCTTTCTTTTAAGCACAATAATTAAGGATTACCAGATATTTTTTGGAAAATTCTACATGCGCATGGGCTTGCAGCACATATAACGCCCCCCCCCCCCGATTTTGTTGGTATAATAATCTGCATTGTGAATTCATGAGTATTAAGTAATGGAAATATATATTTACATGATAGTATCTCTGACATTATTGCATTTCTAATTTGGTTGAATATGCTTGAATGGACATGGTACCTGCCACCAACAAAAAGCAAGGCATTTCTATTTAAAGAAACCTTTTAAATTTAAGTCTGTTATTAAGACAAGTGTAGTTTATACAAGGTCACTGCAAATATAAGGTGTTGTCAACTGAGCCAAATATCTACTATAACTTACACGCTTTTATGAGCAGCAGGTGTATTCCTCCAAAAGATTATGACACTATTAACTGCACAGAAGGAATACATAATAATAGGTTGTTAACTGAACTGCTCTAACAAAAGTGGAAAGAAAGGACACTTTAAAATCATTATCAAAGTCTGCAGAATATGAAGATACACTATATATTGTGATTTTGTGTCAAAATGGTTTTGAGTCAAAATGACTTTAGGGAATGAAAACTTTTATTCTAGCAGTCCCATGTGACTACTGAATGGATTGTGGTGGGGCTGGGGGGAGACTTCTAAGCAATGTGAGATGATTATGAGGATGGTTGGAGAAATATCATATTTTCTTGCAGTATACCTCTAACCCCACAGAGTTTGGAAGCTCTGTCCTAACTCTGCAAAACAGCTCTGGGAGGAATAGGGAGTTGCAGAGGATTGAAGATGAGAGGAGGGAATGAGAAAACGTATTTCCATTAAGTGTATTTAAGTTAATTTTTAAATGATTTGTGTTTTTATGTTTAAGTGTTTTTCTTTTATATTATATATTCTTTTAAAACTATAACCAAACCAGATTCTTTTTGGAATCAGACATCCTCAAAATCAAACCATCAGTCAATCAATCTAAGCCAATATCTTGCTGCATTTTGATGTACGCTGGTGTATAACTTATTGTATTTTTAAAAAAATACTGTTTGCATGATAGACACATAATTCAAAGATATTTAACTTGAATCTAATAGTAGATCAGATAAATTATGATTCAAATTAAATAACTTTGAATTCATTCAAAACAATAAAAAACCCAGCAACACTCAAATCTGTTTTGCAGAGGTTTTAGTGCAGCTTAACACAAACTGGTGTTTCCAAGACAGTTACATATACAATATTCAACACTCCCAATCAGCATGGGTGTTGGCTGATATTCTGGGATCATAGTTGAGAAAGGCTGCATGGATGACTGATGTGGATATATCATGGTCTTTTTCTTCAACATTGCGGTTGGGAGGGAATGATTATCAGCACTATCTATTTCGTTAGAATCTACCAGTTTTACCAGGCCTTTGCTGTATAAGAGAGTTCAGAAAATATTCAGAATACATTTGAATTCTATCCAAGCAGGATTTAGGACAGACACTTGTGACTGGTTTAACTCTAGAAATGTCAGCATTGTAATTAAGATTGGATATTAATTTGTTCTCTATATAATATTTCTAAAAAGAAGCTATTCTGATAAATCTAACAGTTTTTTTCTGGTAGGATATAATCCAAAGAGGATCATTTGCTTGAAGGCCCAGCCTAATATCCAGTCGTTATGCAGGGGTATGGTAATCCCAGGGAACCTATGCTGCCCAAAACATAGCTGCAAATTTGTTTTGTGACCAATGAGCTGTTTAGTGCACATTAGTCTGTGGATTGTGTTGAATTAATTAATTAATCAATTAATCAATTAATTAAGACCTGCTGGTTGCCTACCTCTTATCTACATCATTTGAATTAGCTAAGGCTGTATAGTTCTTGATGATTGGAATCAACATACTGTAGCTTAAGGTCTACTGTGTCCAGCAACATAATCTGAGGGAGGCTTTAGAAGCAAAAGTGTCTTGAACCAGCTTTATTGATACAATAACTATAGTTTTTCTCAGGCAAAAATAGTCTGGTAACTGTAAACCGCATTGTGTTATCCTCCGGACTGGATTATTGTATACATTACTGTCTTTTAATACTCCTAGAGACCTTCAAATGGCACAGAACAATGCTAGAAGTTTAATTGATACAGCCAGGTGAAATGTATAATATCAAATGTGATACGTTTATATTGATTATAAAAATCTATTAATAGATTATATTAGATTATATAAATCTAATGCAGGGTATCATTGCATATGCGTACATTACTTACATGGTAAAGTACACATTGCTTATGTGTATGTTACTTACATGGTAAATATCAGGAGCATCTCTCTCTATACCTTTCTACTCATGTCTACCAGAAGAAGCTTTTTTCTTTTTTCTTTTAGTTATTTGCTAGGGGTAGAAATTTTATTAAGAATTGAGCAAGTGCCTTCTCTAGATAGTGCTCTATTTGCTCTATACCTAAAATACCTAAATGAAATATCATTAATTTTAACACCGACAAATAATGTTCGTTCCCTAAAGATGCAATACACCTGCATTTTTCATCGTTCCTCCAATATCAATAATGGCATTTGTCATGTACTATCTCAACAGCATACCTATAGTTTTAGCAGTCTGTATAAAGAAATAATAATTTAAAAATTATTTCTCTAGTGTGACACATTAATATAAACCATGAAAATCATGTTAAATGATGAAAAAAGATGCCCATGGAACTAGTAGTTAATTTCCATTACCAGTTTTAAGTGGTTAGGACGCTACTTCTTTTTTCCAAGTGCGTGATATTTTGCCTGTCGTGAAGTCATGGATTTCACCAAAAATTGAGATCACCACTGAGCAGACCCACTTGAAGTAGGTCATCAGTTGTACAGCCAAACCAAAATATGAGTCAGTTTCCTTATGAACAAAATCTAAAATGAAAAGACTGAAAATATCAGCTGTCAGGAAAGTGGCCCTGTAAATTAAAATACCAATTGTTTTAAGCGGCACAACAAATAACAGCTACAGGCTATACTATAAGTTGATGTACAAAAAGGGGGAAATGTTAGAACATGAGGCTGATTCAAGGGTTTTATTTTATTGAGTCAAGACCTACTTTCTCATAGTACTTGATCTCGTAGTCCAGAATGGCTCCATTAGGAGAATCAGGCTCTTGCCATGAGAGCGCAATGCTGTTTTGGGAAGCCCAGTCCTTCCTGACCATACCTATCAAGGAGGGTGCTGAAAAGGAAAAGGATAACTCCAGGTTAAAGACAATGCAATGTTTTTAAACCATCATAAGGAGATAACTTTGAGTGATGCCTAAGGATTTGATCAACAGATCCCACTTTGCCAAACTACATCAGTGGTGCTAGGGGTGTGGTGTCAGAAAAGTCAAGAAGGTGATTGCGACCATGTGAACATGCACTGTCAACACATGTACAAAAGGTGTGGCCTTTTGCTGCATGGTTCACAATATTCTCTTAACTTTTTTGACCCTGCTGCTCTGCATTAGAAAATTTTAGAGCTCTGCAGTACATTAGATTTGGTTCTGTCAAATCTATCTGTTCCTCTTTAAAATCACTACATCTTTTCCTAGGACTGGGTGGCTGCCACATGATTGTGGGAAAAAATGAATCTGCTTTAAGAAGTTTCAGATAAGTGCGACATTCTGCCTGGCATGCTCCAAAGCATCTTCTTAGAAGTGAATGCACTGCTCTAATAAATTTATTGTAAAAAATGGATTCACTCAGAAATCTGTTGAAATGGAATCCAGCAGATGTCTCTACTGTGGAAAGGTTCATATCACAGTGTCTCTTTTTTCAATGATAGTAGCTGTATTAAACATTATCTTGCAAGTAGATTTTTTGCAATGACAAATGAGCTACTGACTCTTCTTTTTCAAATAATGCAGTAAATTATACTTGTTCATACTCAATGCTAATTTTACATGTCAGCAAAAGCATATGAAAACCATATGAAAAATATTACATGTCAGCATATTAGTTCCATATGAAAACTGCTAGGACTGATACAGGAAATGTTAAAAAGGACTCAAAGTTCCTACACAGCCTGATCTAGAAATGTGGGCTTATATTAATTTCTTCTATACACAGACAACCTAATCCATTTCGTTATGCTTACTATATGGGTAACAATAACACAGAATAGATGGAGGAGGAGGAGGAGGAGGAAGCAGAAGCAGAAGCAGAAGCAGAAGCAGAAGCAGAAGCAGAAGC